CCCAATAGCACATTGCCAACGTTCGCGACAAGATTTCTGCCCCGTTCCCCGCCGTAGGCCTCGCCGGGGCTGGCCCCGCCTGGTCCGCGCCGCGCCGCCTCGACACGCTGGGCCGCGCCGCGCCGCGCCGCGCCCCACCGCGTTCAGGTGCACGACCAGTCGCAGCCTTGGGGGGCCTGCCCCAGTCCCAGAGGTAACTCAAGATATTACTTTCGCCCGCCCTCCCGCTTGCCTGCCTGCCAGAGCGACGAAAGCGGCACTCCGCTACGGGCAAATGCATATGATCATGTCGCGCTAGCAACTTATGTCCGTCGCTTCAGGGATCCCACTCAAACCGATTCGGTTTAATAAAGCAATAAAAATGGGGTTGCGCACACTTCCTCGCCGCAAGTGCTTCTACGAAAAAGCTATCAATATTTTTCTCAGAGCCATTTCGCCATACACCGGTTATTACGTGAGCCATCAGGCCATGTGGTCTCAATGGGTTTACGTGGAACACGTACGGTACTCGGGAACGTATCTCCAGTGTCCGAGATTGTAGGTTACAGAACGGTTCCAGGAACAGCGATGAAATTTTCATCTCCAAATAAGCAGATTCGCACTGTTTGAAGTACACAAAATCTAGAAGGAACACTCCATGCATGTGTAAAAACACAACGCCTAACATTTAGAACACACCATATGTGAAATAATTCTGCCAATATTGAGCATCCCACACCCTCTGCGTATGATTACATAAAAAAAGTTAAAATTTCTCGATACTTGTGTAAACAATAACATTTTTAAAAAGACAAGTATTTAAATTTTGGTGCCTTTTTGTTTCTTCGTCGTTAATAAATCACAGTATTTCTTTTGTTTTATTACCTTCAGAATTCAATTCGAAAAGCTTTTTTCTAATAAAATACAAGGTCACTATTTAAAGCTCAAAAAGGAAACTAATTATTCATTCCGCAGCCACTAGAGTGAAGGATTTTTCGTTCATATGCCGCTCAGACAACGAAGTACGCAAATAAGGAACCAAACCTCTGGAGGAATAGCAGAACGCCTGGCATTAGGGAGCTATCTGTTCTCGCCTGTTTTCTTCGCATGGAAGCCCCATCTCATTTGCCGCCCTTTGCTCCACAAGCATATTACCCGCGCAATTTCTCTAATGCCTCGAGATCAACGGTACTCGGGCTCGCGGGGAGATGGCTGCGCTGATAGGCGATCGCGGCGGCGCTGGCAGTTAATTCCGAGGGCGGAGACGGCGGGGGCGATGGCACACACTGAAAAGAAAGGGTGGAGGTCTGAGTGGAAAGGGTCACATGGGCGGACGAATTTAAAAGAAACGGAAAGGTGCGGTAAGCCATCGAGATAAACTCTGACAGAGATGGAGAACAGACCAAAGAAACGGGTGATAGACGAACGTATAAGCGACCCGATGATACGGTGAAGGCCAACGAATCTAGGAGAGCACGAGCGGGCGGTGTCGGCAGGGGAAGGAAAGGAGTGGGAGAAGATAGGTGAGGGGAAGGTGGTTATAAAGAGCTGAGAGCAGAGTACGGAGGGTAGGAAACGCGAGGATGAGGAACGGTTGAGGAGGGAAATGGAGGAGGAACAAAGGGTGGGGAACGAATGGCGAAAACGGGAGGCGGGGAGAAGCGGGAGGTGACGGCAGAGGCGGCGTGCCTGTACCCGACGTAGGCCTCACCCTGAGCGCTCGCGGGGCCACTGGTACGGCCCAACGCGAATAAGGACTTTTTCGCGTGCGCGGCACACAGCCGGAGCTCTCGCACACCGTTTCAGAACCACGAAGCCAGTAACACTCCACAAGCGCCCACATTGTGACTACTGCTGTGGGCAATTAGGCATACAATACATATACCGGCGGGGCTGCACAAATATACAGGCTGCCGTAACAACAACAACAACAAACAATTTAACTGAATGTACAATGATTCAAATAATCAGATAGAAAATCGTTCTCTCAGAGCAAATTCAAAATGAAGTTTTATCAATACATAGAGTATTGATAACAAAAAAGTATCAAACTCCAAAAGAAGGACCGAAATTAAACCTAAGAAGAGAAGAACGAAGGAATCATTCATCACAAATGGGAAGAGAGGGGGGGGGGAAGTAGTTCTTGTGAGAATGGACCACAGCTCACGGCGCACCTTCAATAAGAGCTGCGCCTACCTCACACGCGAGCGCGCAGTGCTCCGCATCCCGAGAAACATGCTGCGCATAGCACGATATCATCACGAACAACCCGCGGCGGAGCCTCGGACCGTGCCGATAAACAGCACGGCCGCCCGTTAATTTCCGAGTCACGCTTCTGCTACCTGCTAATCACTGCTTGCGTACATCGGAGTGACACGAATATCGCGGAGGCAGCCTTCTCTCACTCTCTCGATCTCCTGCACTACGCGGTCGCGACCCCTTCTTTATGGCACTAACGTCCCTAATGATCACATTAATCGTACTATAAGTCTGGCCACGAACTGTGGCCTCAATTAACTCCCCGCAGCAAAGTCTCAGTGTAAGTTAACTTAATAATTAATAGTTAATATATTTAATCGCCTTGATGTAAGTTTACGAAGAATACGTGCATAAAATGAGTCTTCATATTTAATCGTAAAAAATATACTTGAATTATTTTATTATCTAAAACATATATGTCTGAAAACAAATACAAAATTGGCACAATAAAATAAAATGTCATTTGATAAATATCGAGAATTAATTGTAATTGTAAGAATGCAAGAGGACTTCCACGATAATTAAATTGGCTTAATTTATCTCATAAGATGAGTACCGATTTTACGCCATATGCCACATTAAACATTTTTCAAAACAAATTTTCCAAGCCAAGTAATCTCATTGGTTGACGGCTTTGACCTGAATGTTCCAACTCTCAGACGTAGAATCTCCGGAGCTCTTCGAACGAAATGTGCCACGCCCTCTTTTAATACCCTCCCGCACAAGCCACCTAATCACGGCGGTCTTTTTCTACGCTCCCTGTTCCGCTGCAGGCGATCGTGAACGTCGTGTTGGATACCTGGCCCACTTCGCTCCATCCCCAACCCAAGCAGCTGACGGCGGAAGCGAAGGGAAATGCAGGAAGAGCTCGTATCGAAAGTGTGTCCCCCGGGGCCGGTGGCGGAGGATGCCGCCGCCGTTGCCGCGCAGGCTCGCGTTTCCGGAAGGGGCTGTTGTGGGCCGGCCGCCTACGTAGCCATCGCCGCCGATGACGTTCTACACCTCTATCTCTTCGGCCCAGCCGCTTCTATAGGGAAGTCAGAACCTGTCGGTTGAAGTTCAATGGAACACCCACTGCATTAAAACTGAACCGTTGGAGGGCCGAACTTGCTCTTTTATTTTATTATTAATTTTAATTGAGTGCACTATTGAGAAATATATTTAGGCCGATGAATTTGCAGCCATTTGTTATAGAAAATAGTGAGTGTCCTACCGCCTTCAAAATATGACGTACGCGGAATAATGAAAAGATTGTTTTCCAATTCGCAGTTCGTCGAGTTTGGCCAGAATAGAGGAATCGACCAGAACATATCCAATTTGGATAAAATCCTATGGAGCACTATAGGGACACCCAACATATGTATTTCCGTGAAAATCTCAACATCGATTTTTTGTACTTTCTACTGCGTATTTCTGAACGCAAGAAGGAAACAAAATATTCAGAAGCATAAGCAAATCAATTGTTAATTAAAAAAATAATCTTCAATTTTAGTATTGATTAAAAGAACAACGAATATAATCGCCTCTCGTTTTTTAATCTTAGACCTCTTCAACAAGTCTGAAGCACAAAGAAAGCATGTCAACAAATGCAGAATCACGTCTGCTCCTATTCGAAACTCCCAAAAGATACATCGCGCTAACCAACACACGGATGAAACGCCGGCCTGCCACATGGCCCCTGGCCATCACGGCAGGTGGCCATCGCAGGTGGCCGCCGCGGCTGCACTTCCGGCAAAGTTGCAGGTGGCGACTGCCGAAGCAACTGCGACACAGGCAGTATACAGGGAATCGACCCAAAAGGGAGAAATAGAATCACAAAGAAACGGCAAAACTGAGGCGACCACACAAACCGAAACGAATGTGTCCATGAACGCAGATCATAATGGAACCGAAATGCTGAGAGAAAAAATAAAGTCAACTGCATGAACAAAAAGGCCGTTACATATAGCAAAGCAACCACAGAAGGTTTCTCGAATAAAACTTCAGACTGTAGAAATACGCCGTAAGTTTTACAATCTCCCAAATTCGGTTTCAATGCAAAATAATCAGAACATTCCCCTAGTCGGTGATGTTCGCACTGTGGATTAGCTTCGAAAACTAAGTGAAAACGGTAGCAACCTTATGATGTAGGCGGCAGGAACTGCATCACCGACAAGAAACGCGCCTCCTAAAAACGAGGACACTGTCGAACGGGTGGGGGTGAGGACGGTGACGGAGGCGGAGGCGGCGGCGGCGGCGGCGGCGGCGGCGGCGGCGGCGGCGCCACGGGCCATCGCCCGCCGGCGCCCGCAGGCGGAGTCAGCCGAAGCGGCGACGCCGGCAGGGGCGGTAGCGGCATCAGAGCGTTACGTGCAAGCGAGTGCACGCTCTGGCGCCGGCGCCACGCCCGTCTCCACCTACGCACGCATACCGGACGAGGAAACGGCGGCCTCGGCACTTGGGCGGGGGCGGGCGATGTAGGGCGGACGGCTTTTTTCCTTTTCAGAATAGGTTGATGCGAACGTGAGCAACTTCCGTTCAAAGAAGATGACCAGTTTTGCACCCGACTTTGAAAATTCAAACCTTTCTCCCAGGTCTTTTTCGGTAAGAGCAATAAGTGCACCGCATACATCTCTGCAGTTCTTACATATTGGTGTCATCTTGCTGCATTGCAATTGATTCTACCCAGCCCTGCTATTCCCTGGAAGGACAGTTCAGGACATAGGATAAATTGAAAGGGGGCGTGGCCGCTATTGTAGTGGAAGATTTGCGAGCGGGTTTCATATCTGACTGCAATTGCGCTCGTCGTCATCTTTGTTTTTGGATGGGTGTGACAGGAATAAAATACTAAATAAAAAACAAAAACATAAGCTATATATCAACAATGCTTAGATACAAGTTTTCTATGCCAGCTGTCATATGTCAGCTGTTTCTTTAACCATACATATACGCAAGTTTCCACCCGAAAGGTCTTCAACAATCACAATTAATTACTGTTAACGAACAACATATAAGTTCCTCTCGTAATATTTTTTTCTGAAGAGTCA